TTCATGAATAAGTCGAAGTTTAGTATTTTGTTGTACTTTGTAATTGTTGAATTAAGCCCGCAAATGTGCAGCGACATCGAAACTCAACAATCATTGCACCAATGCTGGGACTGGAGATTCAGGTAGCATTGACTATTTTTAAGTGTATTGCAAGGTTTTTTTTTTGTTGTATAGTGAATTTTAATTATATCTTCTTTGACATATTAGACAGTTACGTTATTTTTGTAGCTCATTTGAATAAGTTTCTTTCAATACGGAATCTCTTACGTCCAAAAAGCTTGCCGAACAACTCCATAAGAGGACGGATTGAAAGTATTTTTGTCTCGGGAAATTCAAGGATAAAAGTGAAAGGTTTTTCAATTTATCAATATTAGAGATTGCCTCAAATTCTCAGACATGCTTGTATATTGGCAGGCAGACTTGGTGATAGCGCTCATGATAAATAAATAATAATTTATAATATGCATATTGTTCGCCTGTGAGTTTGTTAATCTAAAGCTGTGGAGAACGAACAGAGTAGTTTAGAGTGATTGTGATTTCTAATATTGGTCTATAATTTTTACTGATATACTTTTGTGAGACGGGCCATCACATCATCTTCTTATTGTCAGACATCATCCAGTCGTCTTGATCCACTTTGCGAGGCGTCACCAGCCCAGTCTGCCGATAGTGCTAAACCAAAGAAAAAACGAGGATTTCATAGGCGAGGATTTACTCTGGGACGTTTGGGTGGATCAAGCAGTGACCGGTTTGTTCGTATCAGGCTTAATGTTATTCGTTAGAAAACAGATTAGAAATATTGAACTCATTACAGCCGCCGATTAGATTCACCGGCCTCATTATCTTCTGCTGCTTTGGATGAGGCGAGATTACTAGGAACTCGAGTTTGTCCACGAATGGAAGATGTGCCAGTCATTGGTTTGTTAATCCTCCATAGTCCACTCTTTTTGGTTGTTGTATTTGGATTTTCGCTTTGATATTCACCAAATTAATATTGAACTATTATATTTGGAACCAGTAGAGGTCATTAGTTAAGAATAAAATTTGTAGCAATCTTCTATCAAAATTGCTCGCCTTAGAATTTGTGTCGGTGACCTTAGTATATGTAGATAACTCAGTTGGACTGATGTCTTCTGGTACTCTTGTGTTTTGACGTGAGTTGACCAGTCAGGTAAGGATCTAACATCTCAAAGTTAGTGAATATTTTATTGAGATGAAATCGCTATACTGATTTTGTGATTATATAGGACTCTAGTATTCAAATGTTTTTATTTCCCCTAGAATTTTTCGTCTGTCGTGATCAAAGCTTTGTCCTAAGAAAATAGATACTTCCAAAAATGTTTTTCAACATTAACGAAATTTAACATAGTGCGCCAGAATTGAATTTTTAGCAATTTTGTTGCAGAACCGCTGATATGCAAAAAGATTGCACACGAACGCTTAACCGTGCTCGAATTTCGGAAAGACTGTCTTGTTACTGCCTGCCAAGAAGGCTTCATTTGTACATGGGCTCGACCAGGCAAGGTA